CGGCCGTTCTGCCCGTCGGTCGGTCGGCCGGCCGGCCGTTCTGCCCGTCGGTCGGTCGGCCGGCCGGCCGTTCTGCCCGTCCGTCGGTCGGTCGGTCGGTCGGTCGTTGTGGCCGTCGGTCGGTCGGTCGTTCTGCCCGTCTATGCGTCCGTCCGTCGTTCTGTCCGTCCGTCGTTCTGTCCGTCCGTCCGTCCGTCGTTCTGTCCGTCCAATGAAATCCACTAGATGCCTAATCATACTTACAATCTTCCTTTAATATTAAGACGGAGAAATATGAGTTGTTAGTGTATTTTTCTCGTATTTGTTCATTTATATCTGAGTAATGTGTCCTTTTCTATTCATTTACAGCTACATGAAGATTCGTGGTGCGAATCAAATGGGCGAAGTTCCTAGCAATTATCGTTGCTATAAATGCCACCAGCCAGGGCATTGGATAAAAAATTGCCCTTTGGGAGCCAATTCAGTAAGATTTATTAAGTCCTATTGTATTATTGTAAAGTGCCATAAATTTATCATTGAAAGCCATCGCTTTTCATTTAATTTGTGGGTGACTGGGGGGGCACATGATTTGCATCAAGTATTGCATAAAAGATTTTTAGAATATAAAGAAATTGGAAACAATACAAAATAAGGTTATTTATTAATTCTATGCATTCGAGATTTATTTACTATTGTTTTGTTCTACATCTTGAAAGTCATTTATAGGATGACTGTACTAATACTTGTGTATTTCACACTGGATTCTGTAAAGTCTGAAAGCATCTGCTGGATAACAAATTTTTTTTGCAGAACTTCTGTACCTCAGAGATGACTACTTTTGGAATGTATAATTTAATAATTTATAAGATAATTAATACACCCCAAGATAATTTTTAAATGTATTTAGTGGAATTTGTGTTTCTAAGTTTTCAATGTGTTTTTTCCCAAATATTTATATTGTGTTTACATATTTTCATATGTTAAAAATTCTATAAGGCAAGTTCTAAATAAAAGGAAACTATAAACATACAGTTGTTGCGTGAAAGAAAATTTATACTTTTACAAGCTCTTATTCTAGAATATTCTCTTCTGTTCTTATATATTTATATTCAAATATAATTTTTTAATCAAAGTTATCCTACAAAAGGTGATTATTGCATTGCCAGTATCTTATATGCTATATGTTAAATTATCATGTCAAGAAGTAATTTCCTTCCGAGTGATCCAAGCCCTGCATTGTAAGCTGTAACAGCAGTGTCCAGACACTACAATCTCTAGGGACCGTTGTCATTCATGAACCTCTCTGGCATCATATTTAGCTCTGATGACAGCATATTGTGGAAACGTAGGTGGTTAACATACCACCACTAAATACCAGTGCCAAATAATGCAAAAACATTTTTTTCAAAATCTCTTGGAATCTTCTGGTTGGATCTGCAAATAAATCTTGAGTTCCCCATTAAGAGACTGAGACATGTCAAATGACACCTTCTTTGGACTCAGTTGGTGGATGGGAAGTGGTCTAATCGTGAGTGTCAGATGGACTTCTTCAGATTACTCAAATACTGTATAACAATGTGTGAAATAAATTATAACATCTGAATTGTCAAAGTGTCAGTTATGTTACCATCAGCTTCCCATCAATCGCTTCTTTGAGAATTAATTCTCTTTCTTAACGATAAAATAAATAAATAAGTAAAATAAAATAATTTCAAGACTTCTGTCTAACTGTTCACAAGTTACAACTTCTTAAACACTTGGAAGTTATTACTGTTAACATTCCTAGCCTAACGTTCATCCATTTTCAGAAACTGAGAAGCTTTTGAACTTGTTCTCGACCTTGTCCATGACCTCCTAAGTATTTGCTTATTTAATTAGGCTTTCTTATCATACCATTGCTAGGAGAAGACAATTGACAATGATAGCTCTCGGTCTTTTATCGCGATACCCAGTTTGCTATACAGAAACAACTGACATTAGTAACCTGCTACATTACAAAATACATTTGTTTTTGTTTAAACCAGTCACTTTGTGTTAGTGAATTCAGCAAAGAAGACTAAATGGTTTTCAAGTTTATGTAATTGTAGTTTATTGTGTATAGCTTATAGGACAATGAGACTGAAAATGTTTTGATAGACAAGAGTGATAATTCTTTATTATTTGGTGATCCCAAGTACAATTTAGATGATGACATTGATATGGCTATGATTATGTACAATAAACACATCAGAATATATGCATTTGGAATATGTATATACAATTTGTATTAAATGCGAATAAAAAAGCGCAAAGGTGTACTGGGGAAAACAGGTGAACAAAAAATTAGATGATTAAATACAAAAATAAAGAAAGCTTAGCTTGCTTCATGGAAAAATAATGGCAGAAAATTAGCTTTTGCACAAAATTTGTAGTCTATGCAGTGATTTTCAGCAACTGTTTGGCAATTTGAAATATTGAATTGAATTGAATTGATGCCTTATTTTACGTGGTGAGACTCGGGCCATCAGGCCCGTTCTTCTGACTGACCACGCAAATTTCGCTACACTCCTTTCACCAACTAACTGAGAAAGGAGGTATTTCTTGGGCGAAGAACAGGCAGTTGAACAGGTGAATTTAGCTTAGAGGCCTCATTTAGACTTGAGGATCTTTTACACGCAAGTAAATATACTAACATGGAACAGCCGGCTTTACTTCCCCTCCAAAGGAATGCATACAAAATATTTTTTCGCCCTTAAAATCCACGGCTTCGATTAGGTTGGAATCCGCCAACTTGGGTATAACAGTCCGATACGCTTACCGTTACACCATTGCCGCCACCTACACCATGTTTGTCGTTACTGGTAACACTGACAAGACAAAAAATGTCAGATATTAAAGGAGGGGTATGGAAAGAAAATAAATTCCATCAGTTCAAGGATGTAGAATGGTCGCAGAGGGAGAGGAGTTGCAGAATGCACCTCAAAGCAACCAGACCAAAGAGTTCATGGAATACACCCAGCTTGAAAATCTGCCATGATACTGCCCCAGGGAGCGAGGGAAGTGTGTGTGTGTGTGTGTGGGAGGGAGGTGGGGTGGGGGGGTGCGTAAGCGTGTGCGTAAGCGTGTGTGTGTTTGTTTTTTCTCGCCTTTAAGAAGTACCTATGTCTTGTCGAAACTGTTGTATTCATTTCATTTCCTCTTCCTTTATCCCCTGCTGCTATTTCTTCTAAAATTTCTATTTGCTTGATTATTTTGCTCTTTATGAACTTGTTATTTTGTATTTTATTCTCTTTTATTGGCAAATTCAGTCCTCATCACTGTCAATACCTTAAGTGATTTCCATTATCAAGTAATTAATTGTATCATCGAAAGTAATGTCCTCGGAAAATACACTCTGAGATTATCCAGTAGGTTTGCACATTTTCACTATGGTATGAAAAGTTCCACTAATGATGTTCTCCAAGGTCACTCTGAAATTTCAACTTGTCTTTAAAGATGAATGGCTGTCACTGGATCCACTGCCCCAGGTGCGAGTGTTGTTTAAAAAGAGTTCAGAAGATACTCTAAAAAAAAAAAACTTCCTGCAACACGGAAGAGAGTGACTCGATAATTTTTCTTTGGGAGTTTTGGGAGACTGTACATCACCAGTTAAGGGTTAGTGAACTGCATGTGGAGAAAAAAAAACTTAAGATACCAACAAACTAAAAGCCCTATGAGGAAATAGTTATGCAGTACTCTGTACCTGGAAAATAAATGCACGAATTAATGAAAATTAAGAAATGACATTAGTTTGGACAATCTGCCATTTATAGTTGACTGGATAGAGTAAACTTTGTTACAGTGAAACGAACAGAACTGAAAGCGAACCGTGAATGATGTCAATTGTCATTTGTTAGAAGTTGGTTCACGTATATATGGCTTTGAGTGTGCCACAAGAAAGAATTGAAATTAGAATGTGCTTTTCTATTTATGCTTCTTCAAAAATTCAATTTTTTTTTCTTTTAACCTTACATTTTACATGTGTGGTAAATTTAATGTAAGTTTTCAACCATTCAACTAAGTCTTGAATGCAAAGTGTGAACATTCTTCATGTGATTTATGACCATAAATAACTTTATGGAGCAATCTGTGAGGGTGAAAAGAAAGAAGAAAGTCCAGTTATTCAAATAGGTTGGCAGCTTGAGTGAGATCATTGATAAGTGAAAGAAGGAAAAGAATGATGCAATATTCTGACTTTTTTCATTTTTTTCAAAGTATTTAAATTGGGGTAGCATAATAAAATTGACAAAAAAGGGGGAAATGGAAAATCATAGAAACAATCTGAAATAATAATAATAATAATAATAATAATAATAATAATAAAAATAAAAATAATAATATTAATAAAAAAAATAAGAACAAAACAATAATAATGCATTTTGTCGAACTTCAGCTGTAATGATCACGAGAATACAATAAAAGTGTTCTGACAGTGCAAGGGTCATTAATGGAATTTTTAATTTGCTGCCTCAAGGTATTATATAGAGCAACTGAAATAGTATCTTCTTAGAAATAATATTTTTTGTTGTTGGCAATATTGGAATAGCAATACGTTGATGTACGGAATCAAAAATGTTAGTCTGCTATTCACCAAAACTGTAGTTGACTAAGTTTGTGCAACTAACAAGCTACCAAGTTAAGATTGTTTTATTTAGATTGTTCATATTGTATATGGCAAAGTACAGGATCTTTAGCTTAACTCGCAATTCATGTCTAGACCACCTCGTCTTTTGGCAATTTGGCAACGCATGAAATACCTTTGGCATCCCTTTCACTTTTAGCGACCTGCAGCCTTCTGCCCTCAGATTTTGGGGTGAGAGAATATGGCTAATTTTAATTGGAAGAAAGTGAGCCTTTATTGTATCTTTCTTAGTCTTTAACACACTGCAGCTGGTACAGTGAAAAGAGAAAATGCCTGTCACTTGGCAAACCTTTTGAGCAATTACTCGGTGGTCAGTATTTTGTCATTTTAAGGAAATTATATTTTATTATTTTTTATTAATTATCTTCAATAATTATTAATTCACTACTGGTTTATGTTTTATTGTTATTTTTAATCGTTTTATTAAGGTTTTTTTATTTGGTTAATAATTTGATTCAATAATAATAATAATATATTATTGTTGTTATTATTATTATTATTATTATTATTATTATTATAATAAATAATTAAGAGCTTGGCAGAAATGCTTCACGAGCTATCTTTCTGATTTCTCTCTGAGTGGACTTTAATTAAATAATATCGTTATGTTGGTGTTAATAAATCGATAAACAGTAATAACTTCCCGGCTCGACGTGCGTGGCACAGCAGACTTGAAAGGTGGCAAAGACATGCGGTTGTCAAATTACCAAAACAAGAACAAGTCTTTCAGACATGGGTTGCGAGTTAAGCTAAAGACCCTGTATATATGTTTTGTACACACACTCATTGTAACTTAATTCAATTTTGTAATTTAAACATTCATAATATATTAATGTGTTTTAGATGTGCATATTGCTAAATTTGCCGTGCTTGTCAAAACTGAGGAATTTAGATATAAAGTAGTTTCACTTACTGAATAATATTCAAACCTTCATTATTTCAGTAAACACATTTGTTTTCATTTGCATTTTAATATGGCAAGATCTTATTTGTAAATTGTTTTAATTGTAAATTGTTATAGGAACCTTTAGAAATAAAAAAGAGCACAGGAATACCGCGCAGTTTTATGGTACCTGTGGAAGGCCCACTTGTACCTGGGGCAATGATGACTCCTACAGGACAGTTTGCTGTACCAGCTATTGATCAGTAAGTTAATTATTAATTGTAATAGGACATTTCTTGCTTTTGAATTGTATGAAAATGTAAAGGTTTCTACACTGCATATAGTGTTTATATGCATGGATATAATATTAGAAATGTACTTTCAGTCAGGCATACAAAGAGGGCAAGAAGGAACGACCACCATTTCAGCAAGAACCTGCTTCATCGACAACCAAACCTGAGCTTCCAGAAGACCTACAGTGTAGCGTGTGCAAGGACCTGCTTACCGATGCAGTGATGATCCCATGTTGTGGAAACTCCTTTTGTGATGAATGTGAGTCAGTTTGTTAACATATTTATAACTAGAGCCCAGATTTATATACAGCACAAAGTTGTAAAGTAAGCCGAATAGTATGCATTATAAGTCTTAAAAGTAAGCACAAAATATGTAGAAATCCTAATACATTTTTTTATAGGAAACTAAGCCTGGTATCAAATAAAATAGTTCTGAAGTAATTTTTGTTCAACTCTCCCACCAACAAATTGGTAGAATAAAATCAACAAACATGAATTGTTTCTTAATTATGTACTTAAAAGTAGTGTGAATTTTGTTTTCAATAATGTCAATTGTCTTTTCAGGACATTTTATATAATGTTCATAATTATTTTCATGTATTACTTATATACTATTTTCATGTAGAGTATTTAAATCCATAATTGTAAGTGAAAAATACGCCGAGTGTTTTTGTACTTTTGTTAAAACATTTTGAAAGACTCATTTTGTAATTTATGAATTGAAATGAGCGATTAGAACAAAATATAGATTGAAATTGTTTTGTCCAGGATGTAGTGCAAGAATGTAACAGGGATGGCAAATTTTATGAATAGTTGATAAATGGTATCTGTAACTAATAATATGGTCTCGTTATGAAATAAAATAATGTTAAATGAAAGTGAAAACATTTACCATTTTGACAGTGCTAGCAAATTTTGAATTTTCTTTCACACTAATTATGCCTTTCACGAGTGTTAAAAATTACCATTTTGCTATCATTTTTCATTGAATAGTACTGCACATTTTTATTAATCTTTTTATTTAAACTATCTAAATTTTGAGTATGGCAGCCATGTCCAAATTGCTATTATGGCAACTATACCATGCCTGTCCTTTGGAAATTATCTTGAAATTGAATGAAACCAATCATTGGAGGTCATTGGCTGTGTGTTTCATGAACTGTGAGAGTACTACAAAAAATTGTGGATGATAAAGTTGGAAAGGCTGCTCTCTCAATTGGCCTATTCATAAAGAACATTTATTTTTCTCAAAGTACAATTGAAAGTAAAAATATGCATATCTATTGGAATCTGGGCTTTGCTTTACCGATAGAATGTAAAAGTTTTGCCTGCAAAAGATTTTAAAAATAATGTGTAGTTTGAATAAAAAAAGTGACATGCTGGTACTTCAACTTTGTGATTATTTAGAAACGGGAAATCTGTTACATTTTACAGAACTTAGAACATAGTAAGCTGCCAAATTAAGACATAAGGTATTATTGCTTTGCAGGTATTCGCACTGTTCTGCTGGAATCAGAAGATCATGAATGCCCAGATTGCAAGGAGAAGGAAGTAAGCCCTGATACACTGATTCCCAATCGTTTTCTTCGCAATGCAGTAAACAACTTTCGCAATGCTACTGGATACAGTCGTAGCCCTCTTGGTCGAACTCAGTCAGCTACCGCTCCAGTACTGGCTGGGGGCCCACCAACTGGCACAGTAGTCTCAGTGCAGACTATTGTACCTACTGTTGTAGCAACTCCTTCAGTTGCAGTATCAGCTTTGGCACCCCCTGGTATACGTCCAGGTAAGAAAATTATCTTAAATGTTTATATTAAAGAATCCTGAAGGTTTACTATGGTCTTCTGAATCGAAGAAGATCAAAGAAGTTGGTTAACATGTCTTTGGATGGTTTTTTTCTACTTGATTGGTTATGTGCCAAAAGAAGAGAAAAGTTGAATTTGTGAAGAGAAAAGTTGAATTTGTGTGAATTATTTCTTTGTATTCTTTAATTATTGAAGCCATAGTTCTTTAAGCCTGTCTATATCCTGAATTAGTTTTGGCACATTTTTTCACCATATTTTGACATGCTTAAAAAAATTGCTCATTTTATATCGCTTCTTTTATGTACTGAGCTTCAAAGTAGTAATGGTCTAGACTGTTTTTAATTTTTCATTAAATGTCGGACAGCTAAAGACCAGGTTAGTGGCTGCAAACTTTCTGTGCCATCACTTCTACCAGCCGCTTTAGTGACTTTGACACTCAGGTGGTATATCTTTGGTTCTCTTAACCTCTATTCCTTTTCTGGTCCATATGTTGGCATCTAGGATTTGGACAGTACTATTTCATGTTTTAGATATCACTTGATGGCATTAAAAGGCACATTTATTTGAGAAATTTCCTTGTACTCTGAAATATCCTTGTAATCTACCAGCTCTGACAGTGAAAAATACACAGATCAGCTGAAGTGTTTCACATCTCATTTGCACTCATGTTCAAATATAATTTTTTTTATTTCAATTAAGTAGTTTTTATTGTTTAATACTTTTGTTGATATTTAGGGGGCAGGAAATGTATTAAAGTAACTCAGAGTTGTTACTAGATAGTATAAAATGCATATCCTTGTATGAGAAATATCTTTATTTGGCAGCATCATACTCTCTTGCATTTCTAGTCTGTCTGACCTCCAGTTTGTTCTTTGTTCTCTCATAAATTTGTCAGAATCTGGGGGTCTGAGAGATTACTATAAGACTTTTTTTGATGGCCACTAGAAGGCAGGAAAGGCATATTTTGTTAGAGAAATACTCTGCTTTATCAATGTCAGTGACAGACCATTCCACCACTGGGTGCCTTCTGTGGCAAGGTCAGGGATGTCAAGGGTACAGTCTTGCAACTTCACAAAATTTTATTGCTTTACCTACCACCCTCTTGAGGAAAAACAGAGCATTGTCAGGCTCACTTAATTTGTAGTCTTGTTGCTTTTACCTATGCTTCCATACCTACAATACCTAAAAGAAGTTTCAAGAGGATTTTCTATATAATACAAAGAAAGATTGGGGGGGGGATGCAATTTTTCGCTTACTGCGAAAAATATTGGATGATAGATTTCACTAAAGTTTGAGAATATTTTCCTTCAAACATACAGTGAACTTCTGATAATTGAAAAATTTACAAATAATGATATTACTTTACAGAGATGCTGGGGTTATTATCTACACATTATGTTGACTAGGATTACTTTATCAATGTCAAAAAATAAAAATTATAACTTTCAAACAAAAACCCCCATATAACTTTGACAATGCAGGTCAAAAGTCTGACGTGGTAAATTGATGCTGGTCATAAAAATGGAATAAATGAGATGCATGATGATGCTTATAAACACGGTATTTCTTCCATCATTATCAACAAAATGAAGGGTTTTTCATAATGCTGCCATGTGTTTATGGTTACCCCTTTTCTTCTCTTTCTTCCAATATGGCATAGATACTTTTTTATTCAACTCGTGTCATCTGTCCTATTGTGTCTCGCACACCTCCAAGTATTCAGCGCTAGGTCGCTCTGACTGATCATCACATGACACATCCACGACAGCAGCGAAAGAACCAGTAACAGTGTGCAAACCTCATGAATTCCAAATTTGTGAAAGTTCAAATTTGAACTTGTCATTCACCTTCAGATTGAAGCTTGAGATTTCTTCCTTAAAGCAATCTATTCCGCAATATTGGTTTTTTATATAATTTCATGTATGCATTTTTCAAGTGATGGCTAAAGTGTAAGTAAAAGTTGCAATGTAGTTATGAATCAAACAAAAAGCATTTTCAGTTTTATTGTGTTTTTTATTACAATGGCTTAGATTAACATTTGTGATAAAATCATTTTCTTCAGATGTCTTTTCTTGGAATAAAAACCATTTGCCTCAATACCTTCTTGTGCAGGTTCTGTGGCTGTTGTTGCAAATGCAGTTCTTGTGCCAGCTCAAGTTCAAGCTGTATCAGCATCTGGAGAGCCTGTACCTGTGCTGCAGCCATCTCCCCCACAATATTCTGGGCGCACAGGTGAGTTCTTAAATGTGCTGTATAATTGTGTTTGGGGTCACTTTTGAAGTCACTTGTCTTGTAATGCGTGTCTTCATACAGATCCGGTGGTGGGCATGTGGCTGTGTATAGGGGTGTTGTGCGTGAGAGGTGAGATTGTTGTGTGAGAGCATTGGGACAAGGTGTATATGTTGTATATGCAGACCTGGTTGTCCGTGAGGCTGTTCCTGCAACCGACCCTCCCGCCTTGGCCATCCCTGTGCTAGGGGCTGGAGGCAAGGCTGTGGAACCAGCAGAGAGTGGGCCTCGTGGCCAACACCGGTCTTCGTCCAGGGCTCCGCCTCCCATGATGGCTGAGCCAGCTCCTCCCCATGCTCCGCATCCTGTTCACCTTCCCCATGGGACGGCACACTCTCATGAAGGTGCGTACGTTTGGCTTTTGTTTTGTTTTTCAAGCATTGCGCAGATTGGCATTAATAAAAGCATGTTATCTGTGAGAATGTAGAATACCAAGGGAAGTACACTAGGAAAAATGCATGTTTAAACTTTCTGTTTCTGATGATTTGGTTTGTTGGGGAAATAAGGAAACCCTGGGAAAAATTCACTGTTGTTTGCTGGCTATGATCAGACGTAGTTACCCTAACCTGTGGAGGAAATGCATGCTGAAAGGTTGTGTGTTTTCATGTACACCCAGACATGTATTTAATGAAAAATAGAACTTAATGGATTCAAATCAGAGAACTAATGCTTTTTGGTAGTGAAATATTTGATAATATGTTATGTATTGATTAATGTGAACTTTATTTACAATAAGGTATTTTTGTATTAGTGAAATGTACATGCATTAGAGAGTACATTGTTAACGTAGCACTGTTGCATATTGGAATGTGTTGATACATCTAATTTGTCATTAGATATTGTGAGAATTTAATAAAGGCACTCAAGAACAATGTGCAGTATTTTTATTTCTTTCATGTTGCAAGCTAAACATATTGCTTGGTATTAATGTTGTAATTCTCAAAAATTTCTGAAGGTAGTAGTTGTAAGTTATTAATGGACAACTGAAATAGTATTAACCACTGCAAACCTTGTGATTTAAGTAAGTTATAAACAGTGAACTTCATTTCCACCTCATGTACTACCATGTCCGACTTTTGTATTTTATTATTTTTTTTATTTTTTACTCATTTAAGTAGTATTCTGCACATGCATTTTTGAAGTCCATAAAATTCTGTCTAGAATTCTCTCTAATTTTTCATTCCTAAATAAAGCTACTGCTTGTAGAAATAACATTTGTCATATTTCTTTAATACTACTTCATTCCTGCCAAATTTTTAATGATTTGTAAATGCATATGAATTTGTATTACACTGCATTTATTTGCAAATATTAAGACTTTCCTTTATTTCTGTTATATCTTAATCTATTCACTGCTAAAGGCACTTATGTATTCTGCACAGTCTGTGCTACCAATGCTAATGACTAGGGCCCAGTTATTTATGTACTAAAAATAGAAAAAATGTGTACATATATATGTAGTATAATATACAGAAATATGTTCTAAAAAGTAAGAAATGTGTATCATTAATTATCATTATATCAATCATTTTTTATTAAAATACTTTTATCTTTATTGTACTATTTTATAATATACAGACCAAAATTATGCATTATTCTCTTCATAATCCTATTATTTACAACAATTTCCATTACTATAAGAAACAAATTTTTGTTTCAAATTTTCAGCAATGAAACTTTCCCTATTATCTTGTAAGACGGTCTTGCACAGACTAAAAGAGCACTATACATACCATGAGTCACTAGTGCATATTTAATGGTATATGGCGTATAAATTGTTGCACATATCCTCTGACGTGTGGTCAATATCCAGTGGCGGAATTGTTTCCTCATTGTATTGTACTAATAGCGTAAACTGTTTCGAATCCGCGATTTTCTCTAGAACTGAAGGCCTCTCTCTTTTTCTTCACTAGATCCCTTATTTACCTACGAATGATAAATGAACTGTTCTTACAGAAGCAAATGCTGATTGATCAATTTTAACGCTGTTGGAAAGTTTCAAGTTTCGAAGATTTATTTATAGAGCTTACTGAAAAATGGAGCAATATAATATTTCAGCTTTTCAGCATCAAGCAATTGCTTTGATATGCCTATGGACGCTGCAGCATCAGAATCAAAATAACGTATGACTAGTATGTATAAAATCAAATATTGAGCATTGTAGCTCGTAGAATTAATCCAGGGGCCCCATCTTGTTAATTCTTATTTATATTAAAAATCAATGCGTTAACCTGAGATCTAATCAGTTCACCAACCCAACCAGGACAGATGAATGTATGGTGCTGGATTAGTATCAAAAGGAAGACCTTACTATGTTTAACTTCATCACGCCCCAAGTGTGCATTGTATTAGTAAGGTTTGCAATAGTTAAATGGTTGCATTTGGGTAACACTTCACAAGTTAACAAGAGAGACTTACACTTTTAGCCTCAAATATTTTTAACACAATGTTTGTTTTCCTATGAATTTTTCAAAGTAATTGGTAAACTAAAAAATTAATATTTGTCCGGTTTAGGTTTTTTACTTGCATGCGCTAAATTTGCACTCGGTGTTGCCACTGCCCCATAAAGTTTTTCCAGGGAATCTTCAGTGCCACATCGAGATTTTACTTCAGATTTTCAGCTCAAAGAAACAATTTGCAAACAACAGCGGAGGTTCACTGTGACAATTAGGGAAAGTAAAATGTCAACAGTGCTTTCTGAGCTGGGCGTGTAGTTTCTGGGTGAAAAGTATCAAGGTCGGTGGAGACCCCTGAAAGAACCAAAGTGGGTGCACAATATTACCTTCTAAACATATCATTTTCACAAACCTAACTTCTTTTTTGTTCTTTGAGATACTCCTGCAGAAAACTAATACCCCAAAAGCTAGGGATTGTGTTGTCTTCTTCCCCTTTATTTGCAAATACTGTCTGATTTTTATGGACTGACTCATTTCAATGTGATGCGGTAGTGGCATTTTAGAGAGAAGGCTACAGAAAAAAAAAAGTTTGACAAAGCTGAATTGTTTGTTTTTCATGATTTCATATCCAATACTTACAGGAAAAATGAAGAATTAAATTTAAAAAAAAATTGTAGAAAATGTAAAAATTCAGTAATATGTAAACATATGTTCTTTTGGGTAAAATGCATAAAAATATGTACTAAAAAGTCAACGTTTTTTGACACTAACGGATATGGAACGTGAAGATAATGTTGATTTGTCTAGACAGAGTTACTTTGGTAAAATATATTATTACATAATTATCCAGGCCCTACTAATGACTCACATTTGAGCCAAGTGCAATCAGTCCACTAGTGCTTGTGGTTCTCACTGGAGCCAAGCTTCATTTATTGCGCAGTTAGTGCCACAACTACTAATGGCACTCTCTTGAACCAAGCTGCTGTGTCTATTTCTCTTATTAAATACTGCCACCCAGATTTGTTCTAGTAAAAGTAAACTTATTGCATCCTGTTGGTATGCCACGCTTTCATTTCAATATTCCTCTGCATTTCAAATTCTTTGTGTTGTGTGTATTGTCATTTCTGAACCCAAGGAATCTGTTTGTATAAAAGAAAGCAATACATGGGGCAGTGCAAATGACCATCAATTTGCAGTCTGCAATGAATGCAAATATGTAGAGCATTGACTGGGTAAAGCTGGCGCTTCAGTAATTTGGTATTCACTGAAGCTTCAAATATATGTGACTCTTCGGGCCATGCAATACGTACATCCCACTAGACTTCATAATCGATTTTTATACCCCAGGGTTGTCAGCCCTGGAAGATTAGATGAAATGATGATGATGATGATGATGGATGATGGAATAAACACACACACACTAGCATACAGATACCCACAACACAACCTTGCCCGAGGATGGACTTTGAACCATATCTGGTTAGTGAATGGCTAACTGGCTTGACGGAGTCTCGGCGCCGATGTCTAAGACATATATAGTAGTATTATTCCATGTATCTCACTCTCGCATATCAATTATTATATTATTATTATTATCATCATTATTATCATTTATTATCATGTATCGGACTTATATTATTATTCAATATCATTATTAATAATGTTATATTATATTTTAAGGATGCTATTACCTTTCAGTCGTTAGTCCACGTCCATTCTGACTGATCCTCCTTTGCTCCTTGAGTTTCCATGACTTAAGTTTCCTTATTTTAGTCTATGTCCCTTCACCCTGTGAATATTTAACATTTCTGCTGGGCTGCGGTGGGACCCACTCTGCCTGTCTAGCTGAAGTAACCCTTAGGTCTGTCTCGACAAGTTTTCTGTTTCTGTGCCAAAGTACCTTGCAAGCCCAACTTAGCTGTGCAGTGCTGATTCTGGGAGAGGTTATGAAGGGAAGGGAGGGAAGGAAAGGTGATGCACGGTGGCAAAGAAAGCCCTACCATGATATAACATTCAAGCAAATATCAAAGTCCAAGGTGGGAAAGTTATAATGCCACAGCCTCAATGAAGTTTGTAGTCTCTCCTAAAGTTATTTAGAGAAATGTGAATTTAATGGCAAAAAGTAAGTTTGATATGTTTTACAGAAGAACCATTGAGTATAAAATTCCTGGGTTTTATTTCAATAATGTGTTGTTTTGTTTAAACAGCCTATACAGCCATTGAAAATGTATTAGCAGTATTGTACTTTCACACCAATGTTTGTTTCGTATATTTTTTTTACATCTCTTGATATCACTTTATTTGTTCTTTGTATCTCTGCCTCTCCCTTCCCTGTGCATGAGTTAACTGATTCCTGTCCATCTTTTAACCAGCCACCAAGTGTTTGAGACAATAATGATGTGCAGACCTGACATGTTGAGACATGCCTTTAGTCACAAAGAAACAGAAGGAAAATGGATAAGAATTATTTTTAGAGCTTATTTTTTTGTATATTTACAAAACCGGTCAGTGCTGAATGTAAGATATAATAAGGTTTTGTAAAGGCTAATGCATTTTATGTGTACATATGACCTGTAAATACTGTACCCTAGTTCTTTGAGGTTGTATTTCTTAATTATGCATATCTTATTACAAAAACTTCAGCCCTATACTGTATTTTATGCTATTAAAAATTATTATCAAAGTGTATATTAAAACTATTATGGGGGCTACAGTTCATATACTAATTATTATAAGGTCTAGTTTCCAGAAGGAGTTTTTGCTTTTGTTTTTTCCCTTTAATTATGAATGTGACTAGCCATATGAGTACACTCTTGTTGTGCTACTTAAGTAAAGAAAATAGAAATTACTTTCTCAATTTACTATAAGGGAAGTAGTAATGCAGGCAGAATCATTTATAATTTTCAGGAGTCTAGGAACGAAAGTAGACCTTGTGTCTCCAGATGTACAATTTGGGAATTAACTATGCAAGTGTTCCATCATAACACAGATTTTCTTATATCTGCAAAAGTCTGTAAATTTGCAATCAATGATCTGAATTCCATATAATAGTAATATTATAACCATCCTCATATTTCGTTCCTCAATCTGCTTCATTCCTGGGCATATTATTGAATTCTGTTTGTTTCAGTTAATGTTTACAAGACCCACTACACAAGTTAAATTTCAACATTCCAAATTCCTTATACAAGTTGTGGAACATATTGTCATGTCAACTGTAAAGTATTGAATGTGAAAAATACTGTCGATATTTGGCAACCACTTCAAAGGTGATACACAAGGCAATTTACAGAATGTGTTACTGTTTCAGGAAGTCCCCAATTCTAGTTGTAAACTTTTAAATATGATAGTCAAAATTCTTCTTATATAGAAAGCAATTAATTGAGAATCCCAGAATGTACACACATTTGATGCTCGTTGTTCATATTTGATACTTAATAGTTAACATGATATGTAGGAGACATATCAATTTAAATACTGTCATTTATACATTTATTTAAAAAATATTGGGGAAAATACTCAAATTTTCCATTTAGAAAATAGAAAAACATAACAGAAACATGTTCCACTAAATAGCTTTTAATGGCAATTTTCATTCATGTTGCAATTTATCATTATTATATTCAGCATTTTATATATTAGAAAATTGAAATAAAAAAAAAAAGAAACCCTCTATGGAATAGTGATGAAAAATTTCACTAATTTTTTCACGTATTCTTAATTTAATGGATCCCTGATGAGTTTTCGTAAAAGAGCATCGGGTTCTTGCCTAGAATAAAATCGTTTTTTAAAGATGAAAATTCTTATATTTTCAGAAAATTTTTGAAGGAATTCCTTTAACTATTTGTGGTAATGTTCATGAATTTGTGAAATGCATTTGTAATGTAACTTGTAATTTGAAAAGGTTGGGAAAAAGTTATATACAATTTTTCAAAATTTTAATCAAAGTGGTGTTACTTCAAATTTGAACTGAACTTGTGTTCATAAAAAAGCTTAAGCACAATAGAATACCAGGGTAGGTAAGTAGATGTTTTGATGATATACGTTGGGATAAACAAGTTAATCGAAGTAAAAAGAATGTCATAAAGTAGGTCAACACTTATATTAATGTCATAATTCAGAAAATATTTAAACCACCAATGCAGTTTTAAGTAGTAATTAATGAAAAGAGTGTCACCATGTTACTTTTGCAATTGATTTTATATAGGACACATACACACTCCTTAAAAATTGTGATTTATTGTTGTATCTGTCAATTCAATAAAATAAATATTAATTTAAAACCATAATGAAAAGAAGACTGTTTACTTGTTGGATGCATCACATTATAGGAGTCTCATAAAGTTCAAGAAAGTTATAATCATGCACTGGAAAACTGAGAATTTTTTGTGTTGTTTTATAATCATGTTAAGCAAATAGTATGGCATTCTATTAACATCGCAAAGGCTGTCGTAGAACAATACTGTGCAACAGTGTGGGTGGTAACACGAAAGTGTATGTTGTCAGCAGAACCATCTTTCTGATGACAGGTAAAGCGCTATTCTTGGAAGTTGCACCATTTTACCTGTAACTGATTTGTTTTCTTGGTTCATTGTGAATATTCAGTTAAGGGAAGAACTGTTTACAATTCTTTTTAAAGAAACTCTTTCTGAGTACATTCTATTTCGCAAGTTGTGCATCAATTTGGGATCTACAAAGGGACACCCTATTTCCCTTGCTAGTATGCCATGGAGAAAGCTGCGCAGAAGATCACTGCCTACTAAAAAAGAGAAAAATAGGTATGGAAGATCTTTTGCTCTTAATACCACTTGCTCATCTCCACAAAAATGCCTTATTAGTACCGACAATATTGAAGTCATCGGGCCACTGAATGGGTATGACAGTAATGATGTGTATCATGGCTGAGGAGTAGGGGGCAGATTTTAATGAAAAGTAATTTATTTTTTTCCCTCTCAGAAAAATGTCGTTTAGTGTCAAAATTAATTTTGTTGTGACAAAAGGGAATGCCCCATCTTTATAGCATTTTTTGTTGATTTCAAGTAATAAGACTTTTGTACCCTTTTCCGTTATTTTAATGCGTTATTTGATGATTTGATTGATTTTAATGGTACTTCAAATGATATATACGAGATGCAATAAATGTTCTCTCCAGAATTTCTGAGTAGCCTATTCTATTTCTTTGTTCCGAAATTCTAATGTCAGCCATTGAAAGTATGTAATCTAAGTTTCCTATGACAACTATCAATGCCACTGTCAGTTGGCCCATTTACAGATAATTGAAGACAGATTTCCTGGTAAAAAACATTCCAAACCAGAAGTTTGCAGGCCAAGTATACTTGAACGAATGAAAAAAGTCTTGGTTATATCAGTAACATAACAGCTTGAGTTCATCCGAACAAGTTTTGTCCACATTTTTCAAACCTTTTAAGAGCATTTTATTAATAGTTTTTGGCGATGTTTTAGGTCATCTAAGTCCGCCTCCTACTGATGAGTAACATGAAAAATAGTCCAGAATTTTATTTTCATTTTTTTTATATTGGATATATTCTTATGTTGTTCCCAAAACTTATCTTTTAATCATAAATTAAAAATTTTGACTTCTATCATCCTCCACTTGTTAGACATATCCTGTATCAGACTTGTCACACACATCCTCCTGTCAGACATAACATGCATTTATTTGTATCATAAGTGGAGTACTCTGTTTAGACCCTTTACCAAGTCGACTGGTCAAAAGTTAGAGTATTACTATATTTCTTGCCAAATGTTGAAGACATCAAGCCACTCAATGGAAATAACAATGTTGATATTGTTGATCAGAAACAAAAATTTATAAATATGTTAAGTACATTTCATATTTTCTTGTATTGTGTACATATTCATATCACATGTGGTGCAACTCCATTTAGGCCCTTTTACCAAGCGTACAACTGTACTAATCAGAATTGCCAATACAAGTTAAAAGAAACCTTTCTAAAAGCGTGTACATTAAAAAAAAAAATTCTGAATTGTCTATAATAACACTAGTAAAACATTATATATCTCAGATCAAGAAAAATGTGTTACACCACTTGAGCTATAAGGGGTTCATGTAAAAATACAAATAATAAATATATTTCCTAACATATATAACATATATAGTTTTCAAATTAGAACTTCTGCAATGAATTATGTAGAAACAAACTTTTCATGCTATAATTTTCAATTCTATGCCTCATTTTGTTGTTTTTTTATTGTCTTGAAGGGGGAGGGGAGTATTAACTTGAAAAAATGAACAAAAATATAACTAGACAGATCTTTAAGCATGTTGTGCTGCTGAATGAAACTATGCCTCCCTGATCCTGACCGTTATGCTTTGAAGAAGTAAAGATTTTTAGCTCATTACTTCTCTTCTTTGATTAGCCCAAACTTTTTCTGTAGACTAATCTAAAATATAGTTGAAGATGTATCCAGTTAGTAGTTGTTGCATTCTTGCTGGATTATCAGATGATCATGCTAATGAAAAGAATGATTTGACTTCGCATGATGCATGCCAGTCTAGTAGTCTAATGAGAGTGAAATCATCTGCATTAAATGCATAAAATCACTTTCATTGCCTGTAGTAATTGAAGAAAATTCTCTTTAAAACTTTGTTTGAGCATGCATGCGAGCGTGTCACATGGCATGACAAATGTGATGTTAGAATTTTGTGCCAAGTGTAGTTTGTTTATAAATTTGCTTTTCTCTAAGTTGAGAGAATTGTTTAGTAATAACAATTTCTTAGAATTAGTTCAAGGGAATTAAAAATTAAATGTCTAATATATCAGTGGAATTACTATAAATGTCAAAGAAAATCCTACAAATAGTGACATATGTTTTGCTTCTTGTCAGTTACAAAAATTTGATAAATCATTAATACTTACCATTAAAAAGTTTAAACGGAATCTGCTCAAATCTTGAAAGTGGTCACAAACGAGTCATTATTTCACAAATGAAGAGTTGCTGAGGGTGGGGGGCTGTGTTTCAGGAATGCTCCAAGGACATTTATCTGCACATCTAATGGAATCAGCTCTTCATCATCATCCTGAATCACTGCATTTGCAGCCACAAGGTAACGGCTGCTTAGGGCAGCTAACTCCTCCTCCTCCTCCTCCTCCTCTGAAATTACAAATTTTGTCTCGTGTTCTGAAAAAATTAAGCATGAAGCATACGTTGTCTAATGTTCATCTATGAGCGTGATAAGAATATTTTTATTGCTTTATTTTTAAATGTAGATGTATCAGTTTTGTATAAGAGACATGGTAGTACAGTAAGTGAACTTAAAATGATCTGAAATCTATTTTGTATGTTTTTTCTTTTCTTTTAGGTTCAATGTATGTTTAAACTTTCAATATGTGATGGTGTGTTATAAGTGTAGATTTGAGATATTTCACGTACTTGGGTTTTAGATTACATGGATGAGGAATATGGGAGAGTATTAGAAATTTAGAATGTGTACTAATGACTTGGAGCCTATGGTGTATTAAGAATCTGGAATATTGCTTGCAGTGGCTGCTACTGCTGCTCCTGGAACTATGCCTCTACCTGCTCCAGTCGGCCCCCCTGTGGCTCTTGCCACACATCATTTACCAGGTCCTGCTGCTTTCTCACAGGGGTAAGTACTTTTTTAATGGAGAATAAAAATTTCGAAGAATTTTTAAATGTAATTGTGGTTTAAATATTCTAAATATTTGTTTTTTACAACAATTTCTTCACCTGATTTTGTTTCTTACAATTTTCTCACAATTTTCAAATTGAAAATCTATATAATAAATTTTTAAAAAATTGCGTTAAGTTTAAAATAACTGTCATTAATAAGCCCATGAGACAGGTCCATTAAATTGTTTTTACAATTTTTATCTGTGTCTTGGCTAATTGTGATAACTGCTAAACAGATTTTGATGGGGCCTTCGCTGAAAAACTTGACTTGGGGCCTTCGCTGAAAGACTTTTGTTTGCCAATATTTAAACAACTTTTCTGTAGACCATTGTCTTATTTCATATAAAGAGAAATGATATGATTTTTATTCAGATATGCAATGTGTGTTAATAATGAAAATTTGTACACTAAATCATCAAACCAAGAGGGAAAGCCACTATCTACATTAGATTTCCAAAAAACAGACAAAAAAGCAAATTTCTCTCCTGCCTCTTAAAGTAGAATTTAAGTGTGCATTCTGTCGGTTTTCTGCGAATGTTTGAACAATTGTGAGGAATGTGACCTCTACATCTGAATTGTGTAGAAGTACATACAGTTTCCTTCTTATTGCATTTTTATTCATTCCTGTGCAATTAGGCTTTAACTAATTCAACGTTAAGGATGAAAATTAGTATCAACCTGATGGGGGCAGATTAAGAGTAAATGGTGGAGTAGCAAGAGCAGGAAATGATGAGGTGTGGTGGGTGGGCGTGGAGCAGGGTCAAGAGGGGCAGGGCGAGGTCGATCTCGGCCATGCAGGGCAGTGGGTCATGGAGATGTAAATATAATTACTTAATTTATTTACATCTCCATATTACATTTTCCTATCCAATAGATGAGAGGCATAAATGTTGGTGTCCTAGGAGGAAAGGTCAATGCTTGGGGAGGCATCAGTATGAGTCATTCTATGCAAAAATATTTAAATTAATTATATATTTCATTGTGAAGAATTTTTAATATGCAGCAAGTTGACTGAACAGTATTTTTGGATTGGAACATTGCCCATTCATTATTCTTTCCTCTAGACATACCGTGTCAGTTTCTGAGGCATCTTATTGCGCAAAATGTTAGTTGGCTGTTGTGATTGTTGCTACTACATTGTAGGAGTGTTGTACGAAATGCTACCCATCTTTGCAAATGAAGCATATGCTGATACGTGGTAAATGTATGACTTTTGTGATGGTAGGGACTCCGTTACTGTAGAAAAATACAGTCAATGGATTTACACGTGCTGAATTGTGGATAATTGTGTTTTTTACAGTGTCATGGACATTTCATGAATGTGTTACTATACCTATTGCTAGTCTTTCATCTAAACAAGCACATGTGAAGGTACATGAAAACATTCTTCGAGTAATAATAATAGCCCTACAAATAGTACACAGACTTTTCTCACATTGGAGTGTTTCGTAAAAATGTGTTTAGTGAACATAGTTTGAAGACAGCTTATCCCATATCATCCGCAGTTAGTGCAAAATCTGGAACAAAGCCAACCCAACAGTATATGAGGAGTGAAAAGTGGGAAATATACTAGGAATTTTTGTAGACATGAAAAAACCAGGAATTGCTCAAAACTTTTGTGGAAGGGAATTATTTCCAACAGCTTCCACCAATTTTCTGCGACATTCTAGAGTTTTTCTTCCACCCAGAATGGCTGTCTTGATGTAGGAGCGTTGCTCAAAACAGTTACATTCATCTTGAAGTCGCGGTAGTCAAACATCTGATTTCACATTGCTCTCTGCTGATAGAGACATGCAAAGAACCTTTGGTTGTGAACACATACTAGTACTACATTTTTTTCACACAACAAATAAAATTATGTGATCTGATAATATTTCTTTTAGGACAAAAATAGTTGCCATGACTTCTGCCCCAACTTTCGCATTAATGCTGAGTGTGCTTTTAACACAAATTAAACATTATTGTTTTATTCAGTAATCTTAAAAGAGAGTATGTGCAGGCGTGGATTTCGCCTGCTTGCACCCCTAGGCAGGAAATGTAATAAATGGATGTGTACTCATGATTTTTTTCTAGATTGACTTTTTCACTATAACTGTTGCTATTTGTAATACACATTTATTTCCAAAATCAAGTTTTCAAATTTGCATAATACTGCAAAATGTCATGCTTGCAGGATATTGGGAATAATATAGGAATTTCATTTAAAAATGTTGATATATACCTTTCATCCAGTTGCCTCTAGTTATGTACTAATCAATTGCGTCCTTTCATGCTGTACTCTGATGATTCTACGTTTACGCAGGAAGGTCAAGATGCATTCAACACAAACATCAATGTCCTCACAGAGCTTGAAAAGTGATACATAACAGCGATGATAACAGTTGAAAAATATTACAAACAATATTACAAGGAGTGAGTGTATGTAGGAGACTTGGGAATAAGACTTGTTCAATCCTGTACGCTCGACTACCTATATCATGGAAACCCTTCAGAGTAGGGCATATGTTAAAAAAAAGGTAAATGTTCAGAATAACCGGTACTATGACAAAATATTGATGTTTCCTCATGGGACATCTTATATATGCCTTGGCACCACCACGTTCTCGGGTAATTAGTAAAATTATGAGAACAAAAGAAAAAGAAAGAAAAGAAAGCGACACCAGGTACATTTTTTAAAATGGTTTTTGAACTTGGTTCATGTTTCTCTTCTTACGTTCAGGTAATGTAGAGGAATTTATGTTCTATCAGGTATTGCACTCTTTTCTTATTCTAATCTGGAGGTGAAAGGGAAATATGTTCTATATGATTTTGTAGAAGTTTTTGGCAATTTTTTCTTGCATAATTTGCTGTAAAACGCATGTGTGGGCTACTTGAGAGAGTTCTCAGTACTTATCTTTCATATTAAATGCTACAGATAAGTGTGAAGGTGTTGGTTATTTGCACAGGACTCGGCGATCGGTGGAGGACCGTCCTGGCACACCCACAATTGATGAACACAGTTTGGATTCTGGTCTGCCTGATACATCAGTACCCCCACCCAACTTCCCTCCTGGTGAAGAACCACCAACCACATACCATGCACATCATGCCCCTCCACCTGCTCCAACACCGGCACCAGCACCTGCCCCAGCACCTGCACCTGAGTACCAACATATTCAGACACTTGGCAGTCGGCATCGTGCGCCAGCATACAGACCTGATCCAGGAATGCCCCCCTATATACCTCACCAGCACAGGTAAGTAATTCTGTCATGTATTGTACAAATGCAGCTTGACCAAGACAAAATTAAAAATATTACTTTCCAGCAAGTATAAGAGAAATTACCTCAAAGTAATTTTGATTTGAACTTAGCTGACTTGACTAACTTGACCAAGAGCTGCCATTGATTTAAATTACTATGTATTCTTTTTAAATGATAGGTTGGTTAGTCAGAAATGAAAGAATGAATGCGTACGTAAATTATTAATTAATTAAAAGTCAATTGGTGTCTCCTGAAGCAGAGTGACCCTCTTCTGCCCCATTATCTAGTCCAGGGGTGTCCAACATACGAGACCTCAAGGGACGCAACTAAAACATTTATTATGGTTGCGAGCCATGTTTTCCATACTTGGGTGATCCACTCATGACCCGTATTGTTGATTTTGGCAGTTTGTCCTGCTGCTCTGAAAAGGAGGTGGATGGAACCATGCGTGATATGAGGCCATACCATTCGCAATGCAGTGAAACACATTGGAATGATATTAAATTTCTGAAATTACTAGAAAAAATCGTTAAATTTGAACTCGTATTTTTACATTAAGGGAATGTTGTCAACATCAAGGCATGTGCACACAATGTTCTTGCCCAGCATTCATGCAAGTGACTTAAACGTTTCACTAATAACCTTTTGCAGGCCATGATAAATGGCACTGCAGGCCGCATGCGGGCCGTCAGTTGGACAGCGCTGATCTACACAATGGGGTAGCAGACCCTGTCTCAGGTTTAAACATCACCAAATATTACAAAATGCTTTTCAAATTGTGCAGAAAGTACTCAAAATCTTGAAATTCTCACTGTGTCATTTTATAGATTCTTTAATTTTTGGCAGTTATGAGACCCCCATGCCAAGTGTTGAAAATTTTATTTTAAAATGAGTTTTATGCAGATGTAAAAAATAAAAAAAAAATATTTCTAATGAAGCTGTTGTCTGTCACTCAATTACTTCAGTTAGTATTCCATATTAACCATACAAACTTGAATACAAAACAACGTTTCTGATGTTTGAAAAATATGAAGTCAACTTACATCGGAAGATTAAGCCTAATCAGTTGGTATCATTTGATATCATTGTTTTTGACATTGCCTATCTCTGTTATACATTCAAAGTCCAATTTTAAAATAAGCTGTGGAAGAATAATAAACTAAGCATATGTATATAATTAAATTTGTGAAAGTTTCTTATTTTCCTCTTGAATATGTGGGGAGAGTCAAACCAGTATATTTTTTAATGAGCTAGTGAAGGGAGAATCTTGAACAAATGGCATTGTACTAAGTGGAACATACTCTGAAAACGAATGAAAATCCTGAAAGAAATTTGTAGAGGTTCTGAAGCCATGAGGTAGCAATTCACCATACAGTGATGCAGCCATTAAGTGATATGAATTTCAAATTAATGGTTGCTGAAGACACAGAGGCAATGAAAGAAAAATTAGTATCGTGTCTCAGAAGGAAATATACAGTTTTTCAGATGAGGATAAAGAAAATAGTTTTAAAAGAGACTTGGCTTTCTCATCAAGAGAATTTTGTGGTCTAGAGGACAATTTGTGATTTTATTATGTCCAAGAATAGTTAGAATTAGTTGAAAATGAAGAAAAAAGTTATCTTAAGGATTATTCGAAGTTAGATGATTGTTTTATATTCAGAGGTGTCTTATCGTTTGAAGTCTTTAATTTTGATAAATCATTGATTTTGGATTTCAATCCATATTGCTGATCAGATAATGTGTTACATTTCAAAATGCATGATGTGTGTTCAGTCATTGTATTATTAGAAGACTGGTTTGTAAATAATTGTTCAATGACTATCAGATAAAATTTTGAAATAAACTGAATTTGATCAAATGTTGATTCAACAGGTCCTACGGAGCCCGAGGGCCTTATGATCATGGTCCGCCAGGTTATCATCATGATCAAGGTACGTGGAAAATGTTTTGTAAAGGACTTTTTATTTCATCTACTCGAAAAATTTAATAATTGCTGTTTCAGTTTTCAAGAAATAAAAGGTTTGCTAAGTTGTCAACTTCAGTATAGGTGCAGATATATAGGGCTAATAAGAGATTAATCACATTGTTCATTGCCCTTAATTTTGTATCAGATGCAATGTAATGTTTTAATTGCATGATAAAATTTTTAAGCTTTGAGCATAAAAAAGTTGTTTTTTTGTCTACATGCTGCTTTGTTTTCTGGTTTGAGTTGTAACGTCGCTAGAAATTGAAAACCTTATAATGTTCTTTTTTCGGTTAATTTCTTTCGTAGTAAATATTGCTTTTCATAAAAATGTTACCACAGCTCTAAGAAGGAAGACAAAACAAAAAGCCAGCTGGAAGAGCCGTTTCCAGACAGTCATGTAATTGGGTAAAAGGAAATTCAGTTTGATAACTCTTGATTTATATAGATAGATAATTAAATTGTGGGAAAAGAAAAAAAAAATAATAAATTTTTTTAACCTTGTGTTTCAATGCTAAAATTGTTAAACTATTATAGAATCTTTTGTAATGCATTTTAATAATCCTTTTGTAATATTATTATTAGTTTCTTTGATTAAAAAACGACTATTGTAAATACCTATAAAACATACATTCTCTTTTAACCTCTTATCAATGAAATCTTTCTCTTTTGTCACTTGCTTCCTTCTTATGTAAAGCATTATTGAAAATCATCAGTTGAAGTGGTGGTTTAGAAAATAAGTACATTGTTTCATAGATCATTGTAACTACAAGCTCACTGCAAACTGCATATGCTATACATTGCGATGGAAAACTCATCATATATAGTTATAGGGCTTGTGCAGATTTGTTGTTTCTTGTGGATCTTTGGGAGCATGCAGAAATTTATGAAATGATTCTGTATAACAGTATTGTATCAAATAGTTCATAACTCTCAGAAAGAATGGAATAGAAAATAACTGCATATTACCTGTAGGAGCCCCACCGCCAACTCGTGCTGTTCATTATGATATGGACCGGGATCATGGTCTAGGTCGTGGTGGCTACAGGGGCTATGGCCGTGGAAGGGGCCCCCGAATGTTACACGGTAAGTCCTAGTTGTGTGGGTTCTTATAAGAATTTGACTGTTCTTGTAGAGATAGATTACAATGAGATTTTGCTGATTATTTTTTGCAGGAGGCTTTCGTGGCCCGCACATCCATTCACAACCACCACCTCCAGGTCTGACCCGTGGTTCACATAATGGCAATCAACCAGGGTGAGTAGAAATTGATTTCACAGAGTTAGACAATAAATTTCATTGACGTTTACTGCAAAAATAGTGTATCCCTTTAGTCTTTATAGAAATTGTTTTGCAATATATCAATGTGTTGTACAGGAGTGCCAGACCAAGCGAATGTTCAAAAAGTACACCTTTGAAAAGCTTTGACAAGTGAGAGCCAAAAGTTTTATGTCATTGCCTGTTTGTGAGCATCATTTCCTTTACATTACACAAAGTTTTTTTGTTTTATAACATATAAATAGAAATATATGCCTTTAGGTACACCAAAATACTCTTCATAGCTCTGTCCAAATGTTAGTAATGTTTTACATTTAAATACACATTAGTGAGCACCGAAAAGATACCAATGGTTGTGACCACTTCTACAATGTTTGTACTAATTATTCATGAAAACACAGACTCCAATGGTTACAATCAGTAATTACAGACTTTTCCTTAGACTGGAAGCAATTACTCCTTGGGACATCGCACCACTACCGACACAGCAGTGCCTTTGCATTAGATCTTGATATTTTTGTGTTCCGGGAGAATGCAAACTTGACACAGCATAGCTACACATTGGGTTTATTTACATTTGTTTGATTCTTTACACAGATAGGGACAGGAAAAGAAGTCCAACAGTTGTATCTGGAAAACTCTCTGGCCATTCAAGGCCAAATGCCGGGTGGTATTAGGAAGTGTCGTCATACGTTTGCTTTGAGCGGTAGCCCCGACACATTTAGGACACAGCACACACTATGGTATTGCTAACAGGCAGAGGCTGCCACAAACGTTAATTCACATTGAGAGCTGCGAAATTGGTCCACTAAGACGGTGGTGTATTAAAGAGTTTCGCTTGACCTTGCACCCTGAAGAGCCCGTGTCTAAAGCGGTTGCCCGGCAGGACCATCGTGGACCCGCTGGCGGCGTTCGAGCGCATGCTGCGCGAGAAGGACGACCGGGACCGCAAGCTGCGGCGCGCGCGGCGCAGCCCGCGCTCGTACAGCCGCTCGCGCAGCCCGTCGTCGCGCTCGTACTCGCCGCGCAGCCCTCGCAGCCCGCGCACGCCGCGCAGCCCGCGCAGCCCGCGCACGCCGCGCAGCCCGCGCAGCCCACGCANNNNCGCGCTCGCGCACGCCCCGCTCGGCGCGCTCCCGCACGCCGCGCAAGCGCTCGCGCACGCGCACGCGCTCCCGCTCCCGCTCGCGCTCCTTCAGCATCAGCAGGTGAGCCCAGCGGCACAGCAGCCCTCGGCGCGCGCACTCGATCTCTCAGATGACAGATACACCACCGTACTGTTCTTATTAGCGACAAACATTGTAGTTCAATAAAGTATTAAAGTTTCAATGCTAGTAAATGTGTTTAAAGTTTACTTTTGACTGAAACACCCGAAAGTCAGGTTGTAAATCAATGTAAGCTAAAATTCAAATGATGCATCTGGGAGATCACTGTGTGTGCTCGAATAACTTTTACTAGCGAATGTGCGCAGGACTAAACAAAGTTTAACACATTTGATCGCAACCTCAGCCCATTCAGGTTGTAGGCTTTTGTTTTTAAGAAACAATCTTGTTCTTTTATTCATCTTGTGGTTATATTAATACTTTAAAATATTTTTTAATATAAATAACACAAGAAATTGAGTTTAAAAAATTGTTTAACATGTTTATTTTTCTTAAATTCTTACAAATTGTGTTAATATTAGAACATTATACATAACATAACATTAGTGTCTATTGTAATAATTATGAAAACATTAACTTTTTATTCACAATGTCTGGCTTTGGTATGGTAATTTTGAAGGGCGCTCCTTAGACATCACTGCAGAGGGAAAGCAAATTTGTGTATTCCAAAGCTATTTAAAACTACTTAAACGGTAGAAAAAAATCTAGCTGTATTTTTGGTGGTCTAGTGACCGGTGTGATGTGCTACCATTAAAATGGCTGTATTCTTTTTTTTATTATAAAATATTTTATTTCCATGTGGCTCTGAGCTCCAACAAACAGAAAAATCTCCACATTTTGAATTGGAAAACATGTTGACACCACCCTAGAGATCAGCCTTCCTTTCTAAAAGCTTCCAGTAAGATTTCCACAATTACCAATTACATTAGCACTTCGAACACAACAAAATTTAATTTGACAGTGGCCACCTTTATTACTTTGTGATTAAGAATTAACTAAAAACAAAGTTAATTAAAATATAGTGAGAACAATGAACGTTTGATGTAGAAAGTGCAAACTCTGTTCGTTTGGTTTAAACACATAAATATGTCAGTGGTGCCATCAGCCATTATTTCATATTTTAACTTTCACAAAATTCTGATAATGGAAATTTTTGACTCGCCAACAAAACAGCACAAAACATCAATGAAAACATCTGTTTTGAAAACATCAACATTGATGTCGCATCCAAGTTCTGGGAGACCCGGATACTAACAGCACTGAGACTGGCCCAGTAGGGGTAAATAACAATAATTTATGACTTGATTTATGCCATATTAGATATTGATGGAGAATTACCCCACATTTGATGCCAAATAGGCTTGGAATGCAACTAAGAGGGGGTGGGGAAATCTGGGATAAACTAGGTGCAAGGGTAGGGGCTGTAGTGTCACTAGGTACAGGTGGACTTAAAGTCAGCCTCACACATTTACCGAGCAACGGGCTACTGCCTGCCCAATCCCGAACATCTGATGTGTACAGCAAATGTTCACTTCCTTTGATGTATCACTTCTGACACATGCTGGGTAGGGTGAGCACTTGTCGCTACTTGTGATTCAGCTAGCAGAAGCTCGCTACTCGCTGAATGGCAGATATGTGAAGCTGCCTTAAGGCTCATGAACTTGGCACATCAAGTATTTATGATGATAATATTAGTTGGAAAAACCCTAAGTCTTTCAAGTCTTTAGTATTTACAAGAATAGAGTAATTTTGTAATTGTCTCTGCCAGTTTATGAGGGAGTTCAAAGGGCCTGGGGGAAGAGTACAAGAATGTGTACTAGAGAAATACAACAATGTGATATGAGAGTGAGGTGTCAAGAAAAAGACACAAAGTGTGCGAGTCAGAGACGCAACAAAAGAGGGTCATGCGATGTGATGGGAATGATGACAGGAACATAATGCGGAGAAAGGTGGATCAGAGACAGATAAAAGGGGGGGAATCGGAAAAAGAGGAGGAGAGAAGATACTGTGAGAAGGGTGGAGAAAAGAGGACACAAGAAGGTGGGAGAGGTGAGGAAGCCATTGAGAGGAAGATAGGGGGGAGAGACAAAGGAAAGAGCCAGCATGAAGGGACGAGCAAGAGGGCGGCAAAAGAGAGACTCAAACACACTGTCCTGTTTTTCTTATCTTACTCTCATATTGCATCCTTTCACTTTCTTTGTGTACTTCCCTGTTTTAATTTTCCGTATTTAGTTCTAGAAAGGGTAAGTTATGTAATGCCACAGGAAAAAGGTTTTTGTCAGGAAAACACATTTTTTGGGTTCCTGATGATGAGAAAGTAAATTTTTCTTGATCCTGTATATAGTAAATTGGAGCTGTGGTGACTCATTTGTAGGGTACTGACTTTCTAACCTAAAGGACCCAGGTTCGAATCCTGACATAGGTTGGGATTTTTATCTGGTGATTTCCTTTCAGGGTTCCTCTCGGATTAACTTAGCCTTCTTCCTTTTCAAGTGAGTACCGGGATCTTTCTCAGGGGTTAAGGCCACCGGAGTGCTATGTTTGCCTCAAATTTTCCTTATTGTCTCAAATTATCCTAACAGAGACAAAATTTGGAGCTCTTGGGCCACATGCGCCTATGTACATTTATTTGCATGGGACATCTTTATCTTTACCTATAAGAAGTAAATTAATATAAAATAAAATACTATCTCATTTAGTCAGAATCGACAATTTGTGGCTCCTTGATTCTGAAAAAGTGTTTCTTATCAGCCTGTGTTGTTTGTCTGATTGTCAGTTTGATTTTATAGTTCTGCAGAAATCAGTAAAATTTATCTTATAAGAATTGATAAATCATGGTATTCTAGTGATTGTATACCTGAAGTTCAATTTTCACTTAACTCTTTCATACAATATTAGCAATGATTCATTATATGTAAATACTTTGCAACCTTGAGAACTTGAACATCAATGACTTTCATATTTCAATGTTTTTTCATTCTTCTCCACTTTCCCCTCCTTAGTCTCGAATATTAATTTACTTGAAAAGAATCATGATTACCAAATTTAAATCTCTCTTCTTGATTTTATTTATAGCTTCAAAACTTTGTTTACAAATATTATTTAAAATTTCTGTTTTCTTGTTATATTTATGAATTTTCCTTTCCAGTTTTTAAAATTCCACTTTCTTGTTTTCGATTTTCTTAAATTGATACTTACTCATTTGTCAATTTGTAACCATAGGTCACGTTCAAGATCATTTTCAAGATCCCTCACACCACGTGGTCACTCACCACGTGACCGTGACTACTCGCCACGTGGACGCCGCCCACCTCCTCGATACCGAACACCAACTCGCTCACCGCCTCCTAGGTTAGTACTTTATAATTTGCATTTGTCTTGCTATTGGTTAACTTTTATTTTCAATTTATTCACTGTTTTCACTGTATTCACATAGTATCAATTGCATATACAATGGTATTTTTTTTCATGTATTTATAATCAGATCATTAAATGATATTCAACATAAGTATACTGCAGTTTTTGAAGCACAGCATTCAGGATTGAAGTACCCAAGTGCAACGTGTCTAGTGTAATCTATGTGAATTGTTCATATTAATATTTTCCTGGATCCTTTCAGAATATTCTAAGAAAATTCTTTAAAAATTGTTTTGGGGATTTTAAAACCAAGATTTCAAAGCACCTCCAGACGTCAGGGGTTATCCAGTTTCTTTAACACAATGAATAATTTGGTAATATTTGTAGACAGATCCTTTGGGAATATTTGGGAAGAATCTCAGAAAAAACACACTTTTGTTGGTTTCAGGAAACTTCAATTGAATACAAATGATGTCACATTTTGCTGCGTTTTGATTAAACTGTGTAAACTTCTTAAAATAAGAATTCAACTTTCTATAAAAGTTTATTGTTCATGAACTCTGTGACTTCTGTAGTGTGTCCAACTATAAATGTTAAGGAAAAATGTCCGGAACTTAGAACCTATTTGCTTGCTCTTCAAAATTTGAAGCTCCTGGACATCTAGCATTTTTGTTTTTTCCGATTCAATTGTTACTGCTGTTAATTACCGTTACTGCCTTTCTGGCATAACATGATTTGTATGAATTGATGCTATTATCAAATTGATGATAATTTTTCCAATTGTAGATGAATGATCATAAATAAGAAACTAATTTAGCTAAATTATTTACTCTAGTTCATGTAGTAGGTATTGGCTGATATAATAATTCCTGAGCTTTAGTTGAAAAATTTTCTGTAAAAACAATTTGTAAATTTTTGTTTTGGGATAATAGTGGCTAGCGGTGTAATTTATGAGAACATAATGGATCTTACCAGTGCAGAAATAAAGGTTTTCCTTTACAATTCAGTAACCAATCCAATGTGAAACTACAATTTACGTGGATGTAAAGGTGCATGGAATATTGCAATTTGGTTTTTGAAGTTTGTGACTGTTTTCAGCTCATAACCGCCCCTTTAACAGGAAGAATTTTTGTTCATATACATTAAGATGATTAAGATATACATTAAGATGTGTATTTTTACAAATAGGGAATGCTCATATATGGAGTAGTAAAAACATGTTTTACATGTACAAGGTACTGGCATTGGTTAACTTTTTTTTGTTTGCAAGTCATTCTGAATGAATTTAAACTTTTCATTTCGCATATTTAAATGTAATAAAAGACAAAACTACTTGTTATGCTGCTCTGAATCCATTGAAGGCCTGTTTGATGACTTTTTTCTGCTAAGAAAAATTGAAAATGCTTGTGACATAGTATTAAACTGCCAATTTACTGCCCCACTGTACCACTGCCCCATTTACTTTCTGTTTTTTCACTTTTTAACTTTCTTGCATTAACATACATAGTATAGAAAAAGTGTAGTAATGCTATGGCAAAAAATAGTTGTTTCAACAAGAAAATTTAATATTTGTAGTAGACCCTGAAACTTAAAAAATGGATAAATTCTGTTCCTACTTATGAATGTGTTCCTTTAATATGTTTTTGTTCCTTTTTATCTATTTGGAAACCATTTCTGGGCCACTGATATTGAGAAATTCGCTGATTGCAAAACATTCATCCATGTGCAGTTCTAGAGTTAAAAAACAACAAATATTTTGATTTGGAAAAGGATATTTTTACATGAAGCCTTTATATTTTCAAAATTTTCTCATTAAAGCTCCAAATTTTTTAATTTAATTTTTTCCTTGGATGGAGCAAAAGATGCTTTGAATAAATGATGGAAGTTGCATATTCATTGAACTCTCTCAATTTTCGAACAATGCAAAAGTTCAAAATGTTTCAGTGTCTTCCTACAACTACAATATTGATGACATATTTTTCTAAATAAAATCTGTTTAAGGATAGACATAATTCTCAAAAACAATTTTTTTTTTCTTTTGAAGTTTTTGTCAAATAGAGCCGTGTCTCAGGCGATAGAGTAGACCTTTCAGCCATCATGTTGTGGCCTCCTCCTAAGCTATATTATGTCCAGAGGTTAATTCCCTTTCACATTATGCCATGTCTGGACAGGATGGATTTTCTTTGTTATTCACAATAAGCCATCTCAAATGAAAGGGATCTTTACCTGCCTGTCCTTTAATTTACTGTGGGCTATTCACAGAGGCTGAACCAGGGTCTTTCAACTCCCATATAACGCAGTGGAAGCCATTTCAGTGGCGCGCTCTCCTGCAGCACCTTCTTACAGGAACTAAAATACGAACTAGTGCCAAAGACATTTAAAACGTGCGTGGTTGCAAGCAGACCTATAATGTTACAAAAGATAACGTTGATGTCCATACTTTCTCCAGAGGTTTTTTATGAGTGTATATTACAAATAATTGAACATTTAGAAGACACTTTTCGTATTTCTCACAAATTAGCCTATGTTACAACTTCTGTCATAAAAGGTTTTCCTTAATATCGGTACTTGCATACTTCAAAATTTCAGTGTAACAGTTTTCCAAAAATAATATTGATCTATTTTACTTTGCCCCAATTACAGGCTATTCTTACCATAACATTGTAGCATTCATTATATAATGAAGGTTGCTTAATAAGCAGATTGCCCGAGTGAAATCGCCCATTTAGTATGATTTTTGAAGCAATCGCCTTGTAGCATGCAAGGTTATGTCAACTAGTATCTTTAAATATCATGTACAGTTTTTTCAAAATGTATTTGTGAGAGAATCGGAACAATTTACAAAAAAATTATTTTCATGATTTTCTCAGTAATTGTCCTTAAATTTTTCACCTAAGAATGGTTGCTGAAATAGAGCAATGTGTGCTTACACATATGGTACATGTCCAGTTTTTATTAAAACTTTCTCATTGGCCTTATTAAATATTAAAGATAGTGATATTATTCCTTACATTCTGTACAGTATAATATATAAAACTATACATAATATTGTATGAAAAAATGGCGAATTTTTGGCAGAAAAACTCTAATTACAGAGCCCTGGTAATGAAAAAGCTGATAAATTAGATTGCTAAATTTAGGGGGCGGAGGGGAATATATCTTTTAACTTGTGATGTAGTCAAAATCCATGTTTTGTGGGTCCTTAATACCAAAAAATTGGATGACAGCAAAATGTCTGTCTGTCCATCTGTGAACAACGCTAGCAGCTGAATCGTTTAGCAAATTTTCTTCAAAATTGTATTCTACCATCAATTTGACTGATGTTACGGCCTCTTAAATTTTGAGACCGATATTTTATTTCATATTTTATTTTTGGGGGTACTTTATATGAAGCCCCTAGAACATTTTCTAAAAAATGGCTTTATCTTTTTTTGTTTACTTTGGTTGATAGTACAAAGGATGTTTCAGAGAATGTTAAAAACCCTGAATTTTAAAAAATTGCATAAGTTCAACATTTTTCAATATCTTCCTACAACCAAAACATTAAAAATAGAGATTTTTCCCCTGATGAAATCTGTTCCTTATAAATAGATTTTGAAATAAGGTCATTTACAATGTTTCAAAATTTTTTACTACTTTTGTGTGAAAATACAGGCGAGAAAGTTAATGCTGTTTTAGCCCTACTAGTTTATTTATTATTTTATCAAAAAAATGGTAAAATATTGGTTATGTGAGTGTTTAATTGTATCGAATTGAACTCATTATTTCCTGAACATTGTTTTTAAAATATAGACTCTGATCAAATTTGTAGATCTGTTACTTTCTGTTGATATCAAAAACAGAAATTCGAAAACAAAAATCATTGTATTAAATTTTTCATGGTTTATATCATTCAGATAAAGCATCATTAAATTTAAATTGTTTGTTAATTTAGTACTGGAGACAGAGAGAGGCATCAAACATCTTTTTATTTTTGAATTGTATGTCCCTTCTCTTCTGTCTCTTAGATGAAAGTTTAATAGGACATTCTGAAAGTTCATAAAATGCCAAAGAAAAATATTTCATGAAGTTTGTTTATTGTAAACCGTAACATATATTTCAGAAAAAAAAACAGAAATTATTACAAAACAAGCAATTCTTTTGCTGTATTGAAGTATGGTCTGAAGAATTCTCCAATTTTACCTTTTTTAGGTAGCTTGGAATTAATCTTTCTTTTGATTTTAGATTATTTTGAAATTCAAATTTGTTTTCAGGTATGCAAGATCTTACAAGGAATCCAGATCAGAGTATGAACCTGCTCCTTACTACGAGAATGACTACTACAGTAGCAGCCGGGCTCGACCTCCATCACGGTACAACCCTCGAAAGGATTACGCCAAAGAGTACTCAGATCAGAGTTACAACAGGTATCTTACTTCCTTAATGTCCATACTTGTTTGTCCAGCTCTGGTGGCCACAACTGTGCGCATAGTGCGTGTTGGAGTTGGCTAGAAACCCTCCTTGGGAGCGTAGCTATGATTGTGCATTGTATGAGAGTATGAAACTCTTGTGATGTGGGCACCAGAGTTAAATTGCTAATGCTGGTCCAGCCGGTTTCCTATGTAATTCAGAGCATAATTAAGAATGTGGTTAAGTTCTTAACATATTCATTTGATGTTTTAAGTACATATTTACTTCAAAAAATTCAAGGCAAGTCAAAAATACTTTGTTTGCAGTTTTTGAAGCAAGTTGGATCACTAGCAATTTGTGTGCAGAGCAATAGCCCTGTGCACCCTTGGTGTAAAGGAGTAATTCAAGGATTACTCTCTGATCGTGCCAAATAAGGCATTTTTGGTGTTTTTTACATTGTTTTTGAGATTCCATGAACTTATGTATACAGTTATTTGCATTGATGCTTAACACTGACACATGCAGTGAAAATATTTCATTATAGCTGAATGTAGTTGTCAGTTTGAAAAATGAGACGTAAGTTAGAAATGCTGTTTTGATACCAATTTAGAAGTAAAAGGTTTCGAGTGTATTTGTGTTATTGTTGATTATTTGGACTGAATTTTTGTGTAAAATTACCTTGTGCCATTTACACAACAGGTATGACCTGTATGTGTCTGTGGAATGCATTAAAAGTTTTAATAAACATCTTCACATGTTGCTTATTTTGCTCATATAATACATGAACATATTCCAATTCATGAAAATACTTGTATTTGTTGCATTTAATGGTATTTAATATTAGCTAAAATAACAATGTAACAGTATTTGCTTTACCAACCAAATTTCATTTTCCTCAATTGGTATGACAACTCACCATGCATGACTTATAGCAAACGATTCAGTTGTCATTGATATTTTGCCATATTTTGTATGCAGTTGTAGTAATATTGTATATTATATATTACAAATCAGTTTTTAAAATTGAAAGATTTTTAGCATAAATTTCTTTTAAAAAAATATTTTTGAAGAAAACCTTTTTTGAATTATAGTTTTTTTTTTGAAAGGGAAACCCAATACTAAAATTAATAATTTTGTAATAAAGTAAGTGTATGTTGTGTGAGATTAAAAGTATTTGAAATTCATTGTTCCTTTCAATTGATAAGCAGAAGCGACTCCGAAAATGTTTATAACATGCTTCTGCTATTCATGTTTTGCGCTAGTAGTGTAAATACATGAATAACAAATATTGCTAAAGTTCATTAGTCCTGTTCTTTAACATTCATACAAGGGGTTCTGAGTTAAGTTTTCCCCCAGTACCGTTTTCCTCATTTTGTTGCCAACTTGGCCTTTCTTGAGAAAATGAATCACGTCCCTTTATCATTGTAAACTTCTTGAGTTGGGTGGTGAACGTAATTTAATGATTGTAAACATTTAACGTTTATTTTAATAATTTTGGAGGTGATTACTCGAATTGTTATAGATTGTTAATGTTGAAATAATTTTGCCATTTTAACTTATGTATAAGAAAGTTTGATGAAAAACTTTGTAAGATAACAGTGATTTTGCACATACATTTCACAGTCTATTGTTGCACCCAACAAATTTGTCTTCTTTTATTTTACAGAAAGTGCCATATTTTTACTATTGTTCATAAAAACTGAAAGTTTCCTTTTGTATTTACAACTATAAGCTGGGTTATTCTTGCTACTATTATGAATATCCAGGTATAGAGTTGTGTATCTCACATATACATTAGTTAGGAAGCAAGGATCAAACCATTCTATCGTTGAGATTTTGCAGATGATATTAACTTCAACAAACGCTAGTTTGTCATGTTGAATTTCATTTATATCATCATTTTAAAAGTTTTTTTTCTGTGTGATTTATGCATTGAAATGTTAATGTATCTCGTATAGAGAGATGGAATGAGAATAAAAATTAATTGAAATTTAAAAGTGTCAACTATTAATTGTGAAAACATTTGCTTACTAAGCAATTGAGCGCATAGACAAAATATATGTTTGATATGTAGGGGTATATATTTGTTTTTCCTGATAATATTAACTTCAATTTATTAGCTCAAATTTATGGATGTAAAATATCAATCACTCTCTCTAATATTTGTTTGTGGAAGAGAAAGGGCATGTCATTGGAATTTAGTGAGAGTTCAGAAAAGCACTACTAAAAGTAAAAAGAATAAAATTCTTTGAAAGTGAATTATGAACGAGTGTTTTAAAAGTTGTTTTTGCATACTGTAGTTTGAAAATACGAATAGGAAAAGAAAGAAAGAAAGAAAAAGGCTATTATTATCTTCTTGTAGTGCGTAGTTGCACATTAATAATACTTCAGAAGAATTGTTCTCCAGTCACATAACATCAGTATTACCACTGAAACATTTCAATAAAAATAGTTTTGGAAATTAAATAATGTATACTTTTATTGTATTATACTGTGTGATTAAATATATTGTTTATTGCAAAATTATCAAGATGATTTTAACAGTACTCTATTTAAAAAAGTTTCTTCATGTGAAATATCCATGATTCGCAGAAATGTTTGTTTCATGTGACATGGTGGAATATTTATTTTAATTTTTGAGTTTGGTATTAACTGGTTGTCTAATTTGGTGATGAAATATTTTGTTATTGAGTGCGAGTGTTTTAGGGAATGGGGACACAGAAAATCTACATAGTGGAAAATTGAACTCTTCGATAAATTAGTTATTTACAAAATTTATTAGAATATTGAGAAAATTGGTTCTTACATTGATTACATTTTACCAGCAATGCTTTAATCATCAAATATTTTTTTTTTATGTTTTGTGACTGTATTGCAATACTTCTTGCTTTCATTTTTTCTTAATGAACTGTGTAGCTGAGAAAATACATTTCATTTGTATGCAGATAAATTAATGAATTGTTGGAAAGTATTACATCTGAGGAGTTGTTCCATTTTGTTAGTACTTAGAAATCATCAGATTATCACAGATCTTTCTTGTCTTTGCCAAAATTTTATCCTTAGAACCTGCTTGCAGAGTTAGTAAATTTTATCCAAATCAGTTTCTCTAAATTTTAAATATGTATATTTTGTATTTCTGATGGAAAGAGTTATCTTTTTTTATGGGGTCGTTGTGTCCAGAGAAAATACTTTACGTCTTTTTTTTAAATAAGCTATTGTAATTGAGAGTTTATGGTATAAGAAAGACTTGCAGGTAAATAAAATAGTTACATAGTGTATTTCTTGAATCAGCATTTATATTTTTGTTGTTTTTCAAACATTGTACTCATAAAATAGAACAGCAGTTTTCCTCTTTTTACTGTGTGGATGATAAGATCTCTAGTGTGGATGTGAAATGTATTTGTGATGTGATTGGATGGTGTTGTTTATTTTTCTATACAATAGATAGTTAAATTAAGATTTCTATTTAGTTTTCAGTGCAAATATAGTTAAAGATATTCACAGTTAAAAGTTTCAAAGGTATTATAATTTTTTAATTACAGATGATGAAAATACAGTTACAGATATTTAACTATTTTTTTCATATCTTATGGTCTATGCCTTAGCTTTAGTTACAGATACAGAATGTTACATTGAGTGTTATATAAGTTAGTGTACACATGATTTTCATGTTTTTTTGTTTTTTAAACATAAACTGTAATAGAAAAAAATACAACATCCATTGTTAGAATATAATAAAACATGCTATATTAGTTTCTAGGAGAAAGGAACTGCAACTTGCGAATAATTTCAGGAAATTAACTTTGAATATGATATTAGAGACTCTCAATGTGTGTTGAATAAGTGGAAAGTAGAATTTTAAAATAGAAGTATGATTTTGAAGTGAAACTTCCATTCATTCATTCATGCTGTATATTAAGTGACTCAAAATGTGTTGATGACATTTGTTGTTCCTTATGCTGTCGTATTGGTCAACATTATTCCAAGATGAAAATTTGTATTGCTCTGCAGTATCTGTATTTACATTCATTCTTTTGTATCACAGTGAAGTTCTTACTAATGCTCAAAAACAGAAAAATATTATATGGGAATGTAAAATGTCAGAATATTTTGTTCTTTGAAATCAGATTAAATATTGAAGATCTTCCCAAATTTGAAGTTTGTTTTTTTAAATTTTTACTTAATGTCAATTTAGGTAGGTGATTTTACATTTGCACAATGTACCTATTGATACAACTTTGGGACATTATTTTAGGTATCACAATATAAGGTAGAAACATATTCTTGGTGAATTCTCTGTATTGTTTGTTCAGATAATCCAAATTCTATTTAATATGGCATGCTGTGATTGAGAAATTTGTTCGCTTTTTTAAAGAGGAGGTTTCCTACTTTCTATAGATCCGTAACATATGTTACTGGATTTGTTAGGATGCTTTAATGTCATATCCGAGACATTTAAAATAATGCAATATTTTTAGTTCATTTCTTTGTGATAAATACAAATGTTTAATGTTGAAATCAATTAAGATAAATTTTCACAATTGATATTTTCTTTTAGTTGTACTGAAACTGGGTATCTCTTGGTTTGTTCTCTTTATAGAATAAATCTTTTGGAATTGGTTGTATTGAAAAGACCTTTTTAAATAAATTATTGTTGATATTGAGTAATAACAATCTTTGCCCTAATGCTGTTATTTGGAGTTTCCAAGCTAGAAGTGGTGTAAAGTTGTTTTATATTTAACAAGAACAAAAGAAGTACTTTATGAGAAAGTTTTTTTCTAACGAATATGGAATAATAAGTCATGAAGCTTTACTTTTGCATTATGGTAGTGTTATTTGTAATTTTTGTCATATGAAATAATGACTGTATTAGCAGCATGCACAGAAGTTAAGGTCGTGTTTGGGACAATGTGAACACATGGCTGTGTATTTGCTTGGAGAATGTTCTCAAATTCCATAACATTTTCTTTTCTTTATTTCTTTCTTTTATATAAATAATGGGTTTAATGCTGAGAGAAAAAGACTTTCCGATTTTTTTTTATCAATAAGAATTGAACATTTGACCTAAATAACTTCATGGCAAATTAATTTAGGTAATGGAATTACATTCTGTTATTGTATTGTGCACATTGCTCATGAAATCAGTTAATATTGCGTTAGAATATTATTTTCGTTTATTTATATATATGACTCCCTATCTGTGTGTTAAAACTGATTCAAATAACTAGTCTAAATTTTTTGAATCTCAGTTGTCTTGATGACTTCTTAAGCAACATTGAGGATTTTTTTTGTTTTCCCACTCCACTGTAAGAATTTAAGAAAATGATTACTTGTGACACTTCGATTGCATTGTATTCCATTCCATTCCATTCCATTTTTCAGAACTCATTACTTTTCTCCCTCCTCCCTTGTTTGTATTCAGTGCAATTATTTCATAAATTCTTGTTTCCAGTTTCTTTCTTGAAACAAAGATTTCTTGAAACTTTGCATTTAGTAGCCATCCCCACCTTAATGAGTTTTCCATTTTATTTGCTCTTGATCTTTGATCCATTGGGCAAGTGCAGAAATGGTCTCTTGCTTTGCTTGTTGGCAAGTAGCTTCACTGTGTATGTTTTAATGAGTTTTGGGGGATGCCAGTGAGGAATTTTCTTTTTCTCAGCAGAACCTTTACCATGGTCTTGCAGTTGTGAGTTGATTCCTTCACACCAGGGTGGATAAGGGAGAAGAGACCAAATTTGTAGCTCATTTGTAGATGCAAATAAATAGATTCAATTTCATGAGGATGGGCATTCCTTGCTACCAGATTTTGCCAAAAACCGTTGTTGCTAACTTTATTTATAAGTTTGTAGTGCAGAAAAAATGAGAGGGATAAGGATCTGAAAGAAATTGACATGGATTTTACATCTCCCCTATACTTAGGCTTAACTTTTTGACATTAAATCATTAATTAATTAATTAATTGTAAGTGAATTACATTACTTTTAATATGGTTAAATCCATTTGAACGTAAAAATTATATATTCCTTAACTTGCTAGAAAGAGAAGATACTATTGATCAATATAAATCAGTTTAGAAAAATGAGTGGAAATATTGTATTAAGAAACTACTAGCAATAACCGAGAAGATAGTATACGCTAAAGATCTTAAATCCAGTATAACTTGCTCAATTCAGTCTCATGAAACCAGCATTTTTCTGCATTTTAATATATGAAATGCTATAGAATTTACATTTGCCACGACTCCAGTGTTTATTCACATTAGTCAGATTTCCATATTAAACATACTACTTTTGAGCAAGATTTATTGTATTTCATTTATCATCTGCAAAATACTTTCACAAAAAATGTTAGTGCCATTATAGAGCAGATTTCATTTTATTCCTATTATTCATGATCAGTAGATTCTTTCAGTGTCAAATTAAACCACTAAATTAACTACTTAAATTTGCCACATTTAGCATGTATCAGTGTAAGATCTGTAGGCTACATCCTTTCTAAAATTGTGATTCTGGAATTATGAAATAGGAATCTCTTCGAAAATTCTAAGCATGGTTGATATAATAATTGTGTAAGCTCAAATAAATGTGTAATCAAGAAATCATGCTTCCCTTTGAAATGAATGTTATTAACATTACATTCAGATTGGTTCTCAATTGTTACATTAGTAGATTGTTCGATGTACATTTTGTTTTTGCTTTGAGGTGAATTTTCTATCAGTATACATTAAAATACTCCAAATAATCAAAAAAGGTTCCAATGTTGAACAGCCTTCACTCTGGGGATTAATTTATGCTTCCTATGTGATCACATTTTCCAACAGTTATGAAGTGAAACATTTCAAATCTGGTACTAAAGAAAATTGGACACAAGGTAATCATGCATTCTAAAAAGTATTTGTCCCAGTTGATCAGCCCAAAGCGATCGTTGCATCTTTGGCTCATGCAACCACTACCAACTGGAAATAAATTGGAACTTTTTCTTCTACCCCCTATGATATCACCATGCCACATCACAATGGTTCTAAGACTAGAAATTTTGAAAAATATGAATAGTAATTTGAATATTAGTGAGATGGGTGGTTTGTTATTTTGTTTTGAAACCCCAGAGGTTGCACCATTCTTTTTTCAACAGAGTGATAACAATTCCACTGCTGTTTTATATGAAGAGTTATTGTTAATACTAATAATTATATATATATATTCTATCTCTTGTCATATACTACTATGAAAAAAATAACTGGATTTACAAACATAATGAGATCTTAATGACTTTGTTATTATTCTCAGAAGCTTATAAACTGAGTATTTATTATTATTACTTTTTAAAATTTTGGCCAAAACTTAATAATAATTATGTGGGATCCATGTTTTACACAGAAATGTTTTTAATACCTCATCAAAAATATACATGCTAGGTTTGACGTATATAGTCTTGTGAATTAAGTGTCAAACAATTCAGACTAGAATTTTGAATGAAATTGATTGAATTTGTCACACTTCCATATGTTAATTTCAGTAGGCCAGCACTTACAAAAAACAACCCTCTACATGGCCTTGTGGCTGTGTGAAGAGGCTTTAGAATCTGCATGTTTTCTCATCTCGTATCTGACTGAGTGTATGTTACAGCTAATGTAAAGTTGCAAATTCGTTAATGCTGACTTTGTCCAAAATCAATGAATCAAGTCAATAGTGAAACTATTTGATGCTTTAGCTGGATGATGTGAACATTAGGCAATATGAAGAAACTAAGGTAGGTCACTAGGAATAACGAATAAGTGATAAATAGGAATCGACTGCTGATGGAAAGTTTGTAAGACCAGGGAAAGAGAAGGTACTCTATGCCACTCGAGTACTACGACAGCATTCTGTCTAAATTTCTTTTTACATGATACCATCTAACTTAACCTCACTATATACCTCGGTTGACATTTTGCCGTGCATTTCCAAGATTATGCAAGAAGGCTCCATCCTTTGTGGTTACAACCTTGAGTGTGCAATGCATATTTATACCAAAATACTTCTACCAAACATACAAGACATTTTACTTATACAATCTCCTTACTTGAGCAACCAGCCTATGGCTAATTCACAAATTAGCTAGATCATCTGCAAAAAGATGCTTTCATTGTCATCTTAATATCTGGATTTTGTGAGAATTTATTGGCTAATTCATGAACCAGCCATATTTGACTTAAAAATATAGCAGATATACTAATATAGCAGATATTCCGTGTCATACATTTCTATAATGAAATTTATCTGTATATTTGTATATGCATTCACCATTTTGGGAAAGAAAACACCCTTCTTTTATCATTTTGAAACATGATTATAAGGAGGAGTAAGAGGCATAGTATGATTTTAAACAATCAAGTACAATGGTATGGTTGATGACATAAAATTCAGTAATATCCATCATATTCTTGTGTACTCTAAATTATATAATCTTGTCCTTTCGTTTTAAAATGTTTGTGGAATTAAAAATTTATTTCTAATTGAGTCGGTCTGAAAAAAATATTGTCAAGGAATTAAATTTTTTTGACACTGATGTGTCATGTTACTCCGTGTTTATTGACATAATTTGAGCACTAATATATTTAAAAATCATTTATTTACATTTATTACATTTGAGCTTTGACGGGTTAAGAGAACTGCGCAGTTGTTGAGAATAGGGATAAAAATTTTACAAAGAGCTTCTGTACTAAAGATGCTAAAGATGCAGCAGTGTTAAACAGATTTCCCATGAGCACAAGAAGAGAAGAGTTAAGTTTGGAAATTGCTTTTCATTCGTGTAGAGACCACCACTAGCGATTCTGATTTGCGATCTCTTTTCAGACTTGTGCCGGAAGAGTGGGATTTGATGAAAACTGGCTATGGGTTTCTTGATTGACAGGGTAATCATAGGATTCAAGTCATTCCTGTTGTTGGATTATCAAAAAAACAAATAAATATGCTGCTCGACATTACCTCAAAATGTTCTTTCTCAAAGAATATTAAAATGTGATTCCTATCTTAACAAAAGCCTATTTAGCGGTTGTTACAGCCTTGGCCATTTTGCATACCCCAATTTCCATGCCTCTTTATTTATCATGTCTTTTTCCTCCAGTTCTCTTGTTTCTATGGGGCTTCTCTTGTTTCAGTTATTGCCAGGT